TCCTGCTTTGAAAGCGCTATCGTGTTTCAATTAATTTAATTTACAATATCCTTGAAATAAAGGGGAAAATGATTGAATGTTCTACATTCAATTTTCACGAAATGTAAGTTTATCGACTTTAACTTGAATCCTATGATATTTTATGCACTTTATAATTATAATATGCAGCGAATGTTGCATAAATATATTTAATTTGAAATAATTTTAGGTCACAATTCATGGGTAATATTTAAGGCTTACCTATACATCAGATTGATTGTCCATCCTCCGAATATGTGCCCCTCTGAAACATTAACAAAAATATTTAATTAAAATTAATTAATTACATCGACAATCAAATATTTAAAAAAAAATCCACAGTCCCTCGTAAAATAAATAATTCTCGTTACGGTTAACAAATCTCTGCTAACAAATTCTCTTGGATTAAGACCAGTGAAATTCCTCGTTAGAAATTTTGGAGGAAAAAGAAGTGGAAAAAAAAGAAAAAATAGGAGAACAACCACCGGTTAACACGTTTTTAAATAGCAAGGAAGAGTTGGAAACCAGCGTGTCGTAACAAATTTAATGAGACTAGTTATAGAGGAGACCCTGCGTTTCACCAAGGCGCTCAATTGCTAATTAAAATACCGAACAAAGCGAAAATAGCTGCAGCCATCGAAGCGAATAACAAACAAAAGTATTTTTTCGTATCTTCAACTTGTGCAAATTCAAAGATACAATATTTGAGCATTTACAACTTAACATAAGTAAATTAATATTTAACCGTGTAAATAAAGCGGTATCTCAGTAGTATGAGTCATGAAAACAGTGCCTAATTTGCAACTGATGTGTTTTCAAAAATTTGTCTTGTATTGTGATAAGTATTTTGAAAATTGTACTTCACAAATTCTTATTTCATCATTTTTTTTTAAGTTTCAGGGACTTTATTATTAGTAGATTAATACTATTTACTATTTAATTAAAGTAGCATTATATTTATATAGTGTAAAATAATAGAAAATTCTCAAAATGATGAATTAATGACGTATTTAAGTAATTCGTTACATTAAATCATTATATACTTTTCTTGTAAATTGAAGGAATTGAATTACATGCAAAATAATAAGCAATACAGTTACAAAATGAGCAACGAGTTGCATTTAATAACAATAACAGTTTTGTTAATTTTCATTATGCAATGAGTTTCGTTAGTGAATTGAATTCCTGTTTACTTTCAACATATTCATTAGGCCGTATATAATCAAGGTATACAATTCAAAAGAAAGGTAAACAGTAAATAATATTTACACAATAATACGACGTTATTAATCATGATAACAACTTCATCAGTATTTCATACATCAATCCGTAAACAAATCAAATAATGAATATCAAGCATAAGCTTTAATGTTTATTAAAGTAATTCTACAATTAAGATAATAAATATTGATAGTACACATCTATCATCTTTGTAAAAATAAAATAAAAAATAATAGTCCGTTCGAAACAAAATTTTGTCCATAAATAATAATTAAAGAATAGTTCAAAAAATAAATAGTAATTAAACGATAATTAGGAAAATAATAAATAAATAAAAATTTTTACGAAATAATCAATTGCGCCGGTACTTTTCGTAATAGAGAGAGCAGTATCCGACCGATAACGTTTGATCATTCGGCGCAAGCGTCTTGTAACATTCAGCGCAAGGTTGCGGTCGCTCCCTCTCGCTCCGCTTCCGAGCTCTGCTTAAGGCTGAATTAATTAGGTAAGAAACACGCATGAGAGAGTCGCTGCTGTTCGGCCGCGAATCCGCACAGCGAGAAATCGCAGCACGTTTTTCCTTGTCGGCGAGAGACGCATCCGTACATGTTCGACGCACGTGGAAAAATATACGTAATAACCCAAGAGGAAGAGCGCCCCATTTACAGCGTACAAT